GGGGGGGGGGGGGGGGAGTTGTTGATGTAAATTGAATTTTAGTCTTAATGGTGCAGCCTCAATATCTGGTGCCGTAAATGAAACCATTTTCAGCAGAGAGGGTTAGTTTCTTGAAGAGGGCTTTTGCATGAGAAGCACCAAAAGCGGGATGATTATTCGTTTCCGTCCTTTTTTTTGATCATGTGCCTCGAGCTCGGCAACATTGCATATCAATTGCATTTCACTTTTAAAATCAATGCATAGACATGTACGGGGTGATTACTATCAATGAAGAGTATAAATCCAAAACGTGGTTAGCGTTTTCAGGTGTTGCTGAAATCATGCAATAGTTTCCCTCATTTAACAGAAATCTAGAGGCTGGAGAGTGGAGAGGAACAACTCTTTCCATTGAAAGAAAACAAAAATCCTCTTCTGATGAAAAGTTCACGAGACGGACGTATTCAGAGTTTTTATATCGAGCAACTTCAGGCAAAATCCTCTCAACCCCTGATGGTGCTTTTTAAATGTCTACTTTTTTCCTCTTCTTTCTTTTTTGTATATTCGACGATGTGGGAATTTTTTTACCCCTGTAATAATCAGGCTCGTCTCATTATCTAGTTTACCCCTCTTGTATTCATTTAATTTACCATTAAGTATCATGTTTTTTGGTTAGAATTGTTAGAAACAAATACCAGGTTATAGGTGGGCTCTGATTCCAGGTAGTATATGTGCATCCTAGTGTCAACAGCTATGGGTGTTTCCTCAGGTGGGCTTTGCCGAGGGTTGTAGCGACAAGGGTGCGTTAAATAGGAAAGAATATCGGTAGCTGACGAATTGCGATCCACAGGAATATGACACCCCTCCATGTTGTGCCTGATTCGTCCCCTGTCGAATCAAAAAACAAATACATAGATAGTCAAACTCAGCAATTCAGGCCTTCTTTTGAAAATTACAAATAAGGCAGGGACACAATTGCGCACCTATTAATTGAATCCTCAAGAGTCTCAGCAATTATTTGTCCGTTACGATAGATGCAAAGGTTTTGTGGCCTCAAGTGTCTTGGTTTTGACTACTTTTTCTACTAACTACTTCAATAAATATCATCAACTGTTACGTTAACTGTTTGTTTGTTTGTTTTTTTTTTCCTTTTTTTTCAAAATCCTATGCAAAATATTCTGTGGAAGGAAATACACAAAAAATGGGAATTTTAAAAAATCGCGATTAAAGGACGTGTATCTTTTACAATGTCTATCGATATTTATCTTCCCTCCGTCTACATTGCAACCTCACCAACATACTAGACTCGCACGGTCAGATTTTTAGATGTATACAGCGATTGAATCGTATCCACCACTCTTTCCCTCCAGCCTCGAAGCTATATTATTTCAGTCAGCTTGATTTCCTTTCCTCTAACAACTTCATAATTGGACGTATTTCTAACAAACGGAACTATGTGTATTAAGACATGAGCCCAGAGACCCTTAAGAATACACGCATAACAGGGCTCACGTCATAATGCACATAGTTCCGTTTGATAGAAATACGTCCAAATACCAATCCACGTATACGGTTACGATGTGGAGTGTGACATCGTCCGCTCTGTCTGTTATGTTTAGCCATTTTTACTTGCTCGGTCGCCTTGCGGTTAAAGGAAGTATTGTAATGAAAAAAAAAAAAAATTAAAAAAATCGAACTTTCATATTTTCTAGGCATTTTAAGGCGCCTTTAGTAAAAAAAAAGCACTTTAAAAAATGTATGTCTGTCCGCCCAATGCGTGCGACGTGGCGTCCCGAGAAATGTGTGTGCAGTAATGAAACTTAAAATTAACAGAACTGTAGGTTGAACGAATAATGCGAGATAAATGAACATTCATTGATAACTCACCAACGCAGACATTGCAAAATTAGCAGAAAACTGGGAAGTTTCGTTTGAGAATTAATTAAGCATAATTTCCCGCTTCGATCTGCTTCAAGGGAGAAACAGTCGAGGTAAACACTAATTAAACAAAGAGGGTAAGAGGAAAATAATTGTGTTCATCCAATTTTTTTAAATGGTATTAGTTTGAAAAGCTTAAGAACAATTAGGAGATAAAATGACTTTAAGCCATGCGCCCAAGTTCGTTCAAATCTGCCGTAATCTTCTGTTTTCCGCCCGTTATGTTAGTTTTCCTGACCTCATTCATGTCAAATTCTGCACTAAAGAAGAGTCTCACGTTGACGGATGTCGCATAAAATTTTAAATTTATCATATTTTTATCACGAGATGTGCAGATATGCTCTGGGAACTCGGTGCGTGTGAAACATCTGGTAGCCTTATCTAACGCCGGTTATGAGATACGGTGTTTCAAAAATGGCGATTTATACATTGGAGTCCATGGTACCGATGCGCAGTTATCCCCTAATACTTGGAAATGACTAAAAAGGAGTCGGGTACCTTTTGACTGTGGGATACTAATGTGACCTATACATAAAATTATCGATATTACAGGTTCATTCAGTGGCATGGCGTGAATTGCGGGGTATCGATTGTTATGCCATTCAAACCTAGGGTAAAGAATCGATTATTAAGGTCATCGCTGCGAACACCGCCTGTTTATCGATCCTTTTCCATAGGTTTAAATGGCATAACAATCAATATATATCGCAAAGCACACCACACCACTGGTCCATTTCTCTCGTTTGTTTGAATAAATCGTTAATGCGCTATTTAAAACTCTTCCTTTCGTCGTAAACATGATGTAAGGACTTACCGGCTTTCATGGTGTTTTGTAGTGGCGAATCCTAATTGGACAAGTCCCAAGAGAAAAAACCAGGGAGGGGCGTCCATTTTACGGGAGTTGGTTAGGGTATGGTCGCCCCTTACGTGGACTGCGACATGGTGGAGAATGTGTCACTTGACAGAAGGCGCATCGCGAACGGCGAACGGCGAACGGCAACGTCCGAATTGGAGCATCTCGCGGGAATCGCTCCACGGCCGCCGAAAAATCGACGTCATCAAACGTCACCTTGCAAATTTATTCCCGATCGCGTGTGTTTTTCCTTTTCCCCGGTTTCCCGGCTTCCTCCTAATAAAATTTTCGGGTTACGCCCAGTGTTGCCGCATCATGACCATTGCTGTGAGCTCTCTGCCGCTCTTCATTTTCATTTCTTGTCGCTCTTCGTTCTGCCGTTCTACTGAGTCGATTTCTATGACTTTTGCTGCCATCGATAGAGGATGATCCCGGCTCTATTCCTATTTTGGAAATGGACGTATCTCTATCAAACAGAACTACGTGAAGAGGGAAAGATGGGGTGTGCTCGTTGGTGCTCGAGCCATAAGAATGAATGGGAAACATAAAGCGCCAGTGACGTCAGCGGCGACTACGAATGACGATCGGGGCGGCGTCTCGATCCTTGGATATTAATATCATCTAACTCATGGTCATATTATGAAGTAGAAACTTGAAGAAATTTGAATTACAAGCCCTTTGACTTCCATGCATCCCTCGATCCTTGGATCCCTCGATCCTTGGATCCCTCGATCCTTGGATCCCTGGATCCCTGGATCCCTCGATCCTTGAATCCCTGGATCCCTCGATCCTTGGATCCCTGGATCCCTCGATCCCTGGGTCCCTCGATCCTTGGATCCCTGGATCCCTGGATCCCTGGATCCTTGGATCCCTCGACAGGTACGCCACGCCACTGGTTCCTTCGTTCGGAAAATGACGACTTATGTCTTAAAGTGCGCCAAATTCGGGTTTGTATGAGTCATTTCAAGTGACATTTTCCGTACTTTTCAATTTTAAATGTAATTGAATTCAAGTAGGTCGGGAACTCCGACTTTTAAGATAGTGATACCCCTTATCATCCACGGAGTACGGGGGGGGGAGGGGGGAGGAGCTTCGGGACCATGAAATTTGGAATCCTTGGGGTCGATTCCCAATGCAACTATGGAACTATGTGCATTAAGACATGAGCCCTGGGACCCATAAGAATATATGCATAACAGGGTTCACGTCATTATGCACACTTGCACATAGCTCCGTTTGACAGAAATACGTCCAATTCAAGCCCGCGGTCCTTGACTTCAACTACCGAGAAAAAAACCTGGCACGGGTGGTGTAAGTATGAATGACAACACGGCACAACACATGTTCATTAATTACAGGGCTTCCGCTCCCGATCGGAGAGGTCGTGAGACGGAGAGATATTATTCAAATATTCCTTCTTTATGTGGAATGAGCGTCTTTACAGGTGGTCTGACAACATCCTTGTTGCCATCACTCAATATGTGCTCACGCACGTTCCGATGAAGGAACAATTA